TAAAGCCTTCAAAGCAGTTGTGCTTTTGGCTGTTAGAGGGCACTATGCTGCTCCTATGAAAATTGCCACTGATCTATTTAAAAAGCAGCCGGTTGTTAAACCAATAAAGGCTTGAAAGTGCCGCAAAATGACACCTCTTCATTAAAACTGATAACTTATTTTCTTTGCGCGGAATGCCAAATTTTTGTATCAATGGGATGATGAAATGTTTAGGCGCTATTAAGCTTCTTAGCCCTCTGGATTCCATGAATGGAGCAGCAAAAACAATTTGAACCCGAATGATGCAGCTCAACACAAAACCAATTCATTCTTTACCTTGAACGGTTCCGTAACCTTGGCAAATCCTGTAAATACCAGACCATCCTGGCCCATGGCGTAAAGGATTCTTGGCGCACCGATTGCACTAGTTAAGAGGTTCGAGAATATTCCAATAAGACAGCCAACTCCCACAATGTAGAAGAGAACATTTCCAGCTGTTGCATCACCGGGTCCGTTGCGCATCGCCTCCAAAAAGGGAGCACCAATATCCAGCAAGTACCAAGGAACGTACATAATTAATGCGAGCGTAGACACACTCAACAGAAGTGTCACAAGCAACACTGAGATGACATTAGCACGTGGAATGCTCTTTCCAGGGTCGTTGGCTTCTTCTGCACACATTGACATCATGTCGAAGCCAATGAAGGCATTAAAACATGTTGCAGTGCCTGCAACCAGACCAGTTATTCCAAAGGGCATAAATGGTGTAAGGTTAGTCAGAGGAAGGACCGAAGTGGATGAAGCATTTGATGGAAACGGAATAGTGAGCAGATCGGGCTGGGCATATACAAGCATGAAGATTGCAGCCAGAGTAAGGACTCCGACATTAACGCCGGTAAAGGCGAGATTCAGCCAGGCACTTTTTTCCATACCAAAACAAGTTGTAATTACCACCACTACAACTAAACCGGCAGCAACGAAATCCAGCTCTTCGGCAAAAAAACCATTGGGTTTATCCAATCTATTCACGTCGCAGGATTAGAAGACATTGTTGTTGCATACCTTCCAATATTCTCTGTGGTCCAATTTCCAATGGCACCACCGGTTAGTGCATTTAGAGAACTGCTCCATCCTCTGGCAACCGTTGATATACTCAAGACATACTCGAGAAGAATCGACCAACCAGCCAAAAATGCGGGTAATTCACCCAGCAAGACGTAAACGTACGTGTAAGTTGACCCCGCCTAGTGAATAAAAGAAGAGGACTTTGCAAAACCTTGTTGAGCATGTCCATTGTCCCAACCCCCTTATTCCAACACTTTCAAACAAGAGGTAAGCTTAAGTAAATTTAACTGTTTCTCACGAGCGCAGCAATTCTGCGTTGCGTCCATTAGTGTTGAGTGGAGTAGGTGATTTCCCAAGATAAAATTTGTCACACCTTGCAATCTGCTGCATAACATCCACGTGACCAGGTAAAAAAACACATTCTATTCGCCCCTTAGTTTAAAGATGAAGCCGCGAGGAACGTCGTGCACAATAAAGCTACACAGCAGTCAATGTGACTGACCTATTCCATGTCTATCATTACATAAGAGGCAAAATTTAAAAGAAATGCTGGACTTTCCTTTAAAAGAACGTATTTTCATTGGGCTAACTGATTTCACTACACTCAAGGGTCACTCACAAAAATTCAATGCAAGAATGTTAAAGCTTTAGCGAGTGCTATGAATTTTTTCAAAACCTGGTTTTATGGCGACTTCTGAAGTTCCGAAGCTAACATCTTAATGCAAAATTTGGGTACTTGCTGCTTGAAGGTTCAGCCAGATCTTGCCCAAGTAATCAGTGATGGAATGGGAAACAAGATCGGGGCTATATCAGGAAGTCTTTACAGTAATTGCAAACTACTGGGAAATGAAAATTAGTCAACGAAATTTCGGTTGATTCACTTTCTCTTGTGAATCAAAGTTGTGCTCAAAGTCTGGTTGCGCAAAGGCGCGAGTAGTGTGGCGTAATCGCCCACCATTACGCGAACGAGGATCTATCAAACTTGAGAATTCCATTCAGAGGCTCGCAAGTAACGTGAGAAATAAATATTTGATTGCGGCCTCCATGCAAGTTGATCACCTCTGCTGTCGAGTGCCCATCATTTGCGATGGATTTTACTACCATCAAAGCCACTTTCTTAACCAAATCAAGGTTGTTCTGCGAACTAAAGGATTTCAGGACAAGTAGGCAAAATAAATATAGAGAAATACATTATACTTATGAATAAAATGAGAATTTGCTACAGTCTCGTATATTGGATGCGATATTCCACAAAGATAGCAGGCAACTTGAAATTCGCTTACTAGCCAAATATGCAAGTAGCTGACTAAAGGAAACGTGTGATAAATCAAGAACCAAACCCCAATCGTATCTTAAGGTTGTAAATTTTCCTTTACCTTTGCAAACATAGAACGGTCAAATGATTAAGCTGACCTTGGGAAAACGGCATGACAGCTCTGCATAGGTAGTGGCATTCAGGATGGCGATAAAACCTGCCAAAATATAAGCGACAAACGTTGATGGGCCAGACTTGTTTCGTGCTATCGTTCCAGTGAGCACGAAAATGGTACCGCCTACCATTGAGGCTAAAAATTACAAACAAGCTTTATCCTATCTTTATCATTTTTTAAAAGAATGATTAAACGCTCCGATGATCCATTAAGCGTTTCTAGGCGCACTAATTTATTGTAGGTCGTAATTTTCCTATTTTTGACGGATCTAATATATAGCAGGTTTAAAGGGCAGTTAGTGCATTGATACAGCAAAGGATAATGAGGTGTCACATAAGTGTTATTAGACCATATGGACAGGTGCAGACTTGCTCTTACAATTCATTTAATGGAGTTTTAAACGCAAAAGTCAGCAACCATGATCCGCCATCCGATTATAAGGTATGACTAGAATTGTCGGGTCTGAACACTTATTATGAGTTGATGTTCCTCGAGTGGGAACTCGTGTTTGCTCCATTTTTGCATGTCATTCTACTTTAGATCCCAATGACTCAGTTAAGGTGACATTCAGAGGACTGGATAACCGTTTTGCTTTCAATGGCATCGGAGTTGCAGTAGTTGGAGTAGGCGACTTGTAATGTTCGTCAAATGTCTTCAAGGTTAAAGCAAGAATCGACACATTGGAATTGGTAAAATGGAAATGCCTGCTTTGATAATCAGGTACTGTCTTTGGTAGATAAAACTGCCAAACATTCAGGTGGCACTTTTGCTAATATGACAATCGGCCCAAGGTCTAAAAATAGTGGTAATTTTTAATTGAGCAAGTGCAAGAGCCATCGATATTAAAATAAGTTGAGGTGTAAGGCTATCTACATGGGTGTCCAAGTATTGATATAAATTAAAGAATATGCAAATCGTCGATCCTCACAACCAAATATCTCATTAAAGGTCAAAGTGGTTGTGCTCAGAAGCACTTCTTGCATACCGATTCCATAGCCAATAAGATCCATTGTTCGAAGACATCGATTCAACTGCGTTCTCAGGAGGTGATCCAAATCGATGCTGATGGGTTTCTTTTGAAACGCCTTTTGGCTTAAATTCTCGCAATAGTTATTGCAACAAGATTTGTTTTCCTTTGACAAGGAATTTCCCTGAGGTACGCTCGTTTCTGTCATCGCGACGGCTCATCAATTGAGAAAAGATTGTGAACTATCATTGCCTTTGCCAGTACCTCATTGGTGCAGCACCACACCAACCAGAGGACAGTGCTTCTTCTGCACGAGAATGTGAGGTTAGGCATGTTCTACAAGGTCATTCTTATTGATTGCTTCTCAGGTGAAAGACATGCGATTCGGTTACATGTTGTGGTTCTCCATGACACTCTATCAGCAACACAAAGAATGAAGCCAGATCCTATCGTCTCATCATCAGAGTTTTTGATGTGATGAAAATTCTCATGCTGTTGCAAGCTTTCATTGAGGAGCCTGATGATTAAAGGCCAAAAGAAACCATCGGATCGACTTAATTAACATTTCAAGCATCTCAGTTTTATCGACAGCATTGCTGCGGGTTGGGTAAAATTTATAAATAAACTTTCAAGGTAATTGCTGGTTAGTAAAAGCATTCAAGGGTATCTTCGCAAATTGCAATTGTGATGAAAGTGTTCCAACCCCTTGTTAATCTCTGGGTAGCAGAAGAATCTAACCGACACTCCCCGCCTTGCATCCGAATTGCATAGTCACGTATACCCCAAGTAGCACTCATTCAAGCACTTTTGAGCAGAAATTCCCTTCTACTTGAAATACATTTTTACTAAAACGAATGAGTTGTGCCACCTGAATCAACCATCAAGACGTTACATTTATTAATCCTTATCGAATTAATTGTGGAGCATTTTTAAGGCTTTTCTAGGCCACTTGTTATAGGTAAGAAGCAAGTGTAAAGTGAGTACCGATGGTAAATTATGCCAACGCTTACCAGAATAACAAAACTCTTCAAGCATGGAGTGTGCACACCATAACTATGACTTTTATAACTTAATTGTCTTTGAGGCCAAAGACATTTTGATGCTGCTTACTTCGATTGGAAGGTGGTAGTGTTTTTGAAACCAGTATAAACTCATTTTGTGGGTCTTAGAATTGCAGCGTTCAGTTATCAAAAGACACAAACACCTTGATGTAGGCAAATTTATGTAAACACTATCAGAACATAGGCACAAACACTCTTTAAGTAAACGAATCGTGCCTTAATTCATCAGCTCCTCCCTTCCCATTTTCTTCCCCTTTCTGCATGTGTCGAGATGCCTCCCTTAGGTTGGAAATCTGCCTTCAACAACGCATCACTTATAAATTAAGTAAACTGGTGGGAATCACTAAGCCCAGTGCTTTTACCCATTTTTGTATAAGAAGAATAAGGTTCGGGGAGGCCAAAACTTTCATTCATAACTTAAAGTGAATTCAAAGCAGGGACGACCTTTATCGCCTACAGTGAATTCGATAGACAAGGCTTCGGCGCCTTGCATATTGCGCAAAACAAAATCCCGCATAGCACAGACGACAATTTGCCAAAATCTGCAAGTGTAAACATGTCACCCTTGTTACTATGACTGCATTAGTAGCGCAAGAAATGTGAATGCACATAGTTTTACCAAACGGTTTTACCAGCCAACAACAAATCACTAAAACTGCAGCTCAAGTATAAAAGTTCCGCAGTTACTTTTGAGTGATGCTGTCTTCCACCACATAAAAGTGTCAATGAAGTCGCCATACTGCACTTTGTTTGTCAAAAGTGATTCACGATTTTCCCATAAATGCGTCTATCCACAGGAAGAATATGATTCTAACGAGTAACAACCACACGCAAAAGTCGTCACAGTTTGCTAAATTCACCAACGAAACTCTCGGCTCTGTCTTAATTAAACCAGTATCTGGAACTGATGAAACGAAAAGCGGGTAGACAATTGGTTTTTGGAAATGTCACACGAAATTATCTATTTCGATTTAGATTAAAAATCTGGATTCCGTATATGTGAACTTCATTGAAGCCCAGATTTAGCGTCACGAAGTTTCAGAATTCAATATTACAATGCAAAAATTGCCTAAACACGTAAAACCACCGATTGCGATCTAAACCGGGATCACTAACCGTAAGCATAAGCAGTGGCCTTCCGATTTGTTACATGAAAGTCCTTTTATTTATCTTTGTGTGTTTATGCATGCATGAAATTGGAGACCGTATACCCCCAGGACTGCTGTTGCAAACACTGTCAGCTAGGCGGCTAATGGCAGCCTTACTTAATCTGACTAAGTGATGAGCTCCACACACTGGCGGTTAGGACTTTACCCACGTCGCAAATAATCCCATTTCTGTCCTTATCAAGGCCACCAAGTGTGCGTGTTCAGAGTAGGCAAGCGGCATTTCAGAGGTAAATGATCGACAGAAGCATGTTGTATTCTTTTGAAATTGATTAGCTTGTGCGTAATTAGTCCCAAACTTTTTATCAATATTAAATTGGCTTGTCATTCACCCACACGCCTTCATTATTGCACAATACTGCAACCTTTACACAAAACAGATTATTTTTAAACTATTTGTATGAGAGCAAGCCATCAGTAATGCAGTCATCCTAGCCCTTATGCATCGACACATGACTGCTGTAGAAAGCTTCATGGGATTGTGATGCTGCTCTTTAAGCTGCTTTAAATTAAACCAATTATCGTACTGACCAGAGGATACCTTACAAGGATGAGATAATCAAAACCTCACTTAATTAAGTCTCAAAAATGTGCTATCCCTTTTTAACAATGGACGGCTCATTCGATTTAAGTCGGTCAAGTTTTGTCAATATGTGAAAAAGGATGAAGGGAGGTTGTTGACCTGCGAATTAATAAACATGGTTGAAGTTCTGATGCATGCCAAAGTAGACCCCCATGTGGTTAACAGACCAATGGTTTACCTTAGCAAGCCTATTATTAGGAATGCATTGGTCACGTCAAAGCGACCGATGGCTTACCTTTCGGAGCGCACCACCCGGTGATAATGTCAACAATGCCCACCATCTTACATCACTACCTTTGCTTATTCCATACAGACTTTGGGTAGGCAAGCTATAAAAATATCTTTGGTATGCGAACAAAATGTTTATGGTTCAGCAATGCTTACTCAAGAATGCAACAAAAGCTGTCTCCTCTCATGTCTTCCCGTTTATGCACCAAAGCTACTGACTTTCAAAGTAGGCAGCGGAATCCGA